ATAATGGTAACATCTTTAGATTTGTCCCTGAATGAATGAAAAATCATCAAATAAGGCTGGCATTCTGGGTTAGAGCCACCCCACTCTCTGAAGTCACTCCTACATTGACCTAGAAATAAAACAGAATGATGCGAGTGCGACAATTCTACTTGATCAGTGTTGTCCGATCTATGTCTAAACCCATGAAGTATCTACCAAAGTTATTGAATTTTTTGTTTGTCGGGTTGTCGGATACAGAAATCTTATAAACTCTATTACTACTTCACAGTAATTTTTCCAATCCTCTTATGTAYTTAAGCTTGCTTTTCGGATATYCTAAGACTCGATTAGCAAAAGCCGATGCGTTCCTCCGTTCCGCTAGTCTATTATTTTTCATTAAGACTTGATACTTTTCGCTTYCTGTCTTGTCGCTCAAACTTAACTTTTTAATTGGTAGATGACGTATTGTTAGCTTTCATACTAAAGTATCTGCATTGACTGGGATCAGGATATCTTGGAACGCGCGTCTTYTCGCTTGGCAGTTGGTCGGTTGTGAGCCGGTCATGRCCGGAATTCAATCCCCTGCCGGACCAACACTCAGGGTYTTTWAAAAAAATGAGTAGAAGGTGCTGCCTTTGTAATTAAATCAAATGGTTAGGCATTCATCAGTTGGTTGGGAATCGAACTATTGTGCGAGAGGTCTTAGGTTCAATCACCGGGACCTATATCTCTCCAAGGGTCTTAAAATAAAAGGAACAGCCTTCGTAATTACATCTACTAATAGTTACCCCTTCAAGGGACTCAGATGACCCACGAAATTTTGCATCATTCAGAAAAAAAAAAAGAAATTTCTCAAAAATGTTCTCAAATTTCTAGTTATGATGATTACTGAACCTAACGATACCGTCTGCCTCGTTGTTATTTTAAGTTCCATTCAACCAACTGAAGCGCGGCAAAAAAAAAAATAGACAATGTATGACGTCAGAGAAGATGGGTCAACTGCCTGACGTCACCATCATATACATATTTAATCATCTCACTTGTCAGAATTCTCTACCCTTGTATTGAAACTCTTCAGAGCGGCACCACTATCTTAAGTACAGGAAGTCTTCACCGATTTTTGGACCAAGTCTTCTACCGAGGTAAACATTCTAAATATTTATACTTATCATATAATTATCCATAAAATACCTATATTTCTCCTTTCCGAAAAACTGATACTTTCACATGTGAAAATATCGTTACCATGTGTATTAAGTTGATTTTATGGATAAATATACAATAAACAGAATATTACATGGGCACTTGGAAATACGAAATTTATCTTCTCGTGTTGAAAATATCTCACTCATTCGCTGAGCTCACTCATGAGAGATCTTTTAAACACTCGAAGATAAATTTCGTATCTCCGCGCGCCCATGTAATATCCTCTATATACTAAAATATTTGATCGTTTTAGCTAGAATATTTGAAAAAATGTCGAATATTCCCTCTTCCATGATGTTAAGATATTTCTCACGTTCACTGAATGTAAATGACAATGTCTTTTTTGCAGTTCGCGTTACGTTATCTTATGTTTAATTTTAGGAATAGTCTTTTCTTAAGATTGTGCGTTACTGAAAACTCTTTCTATTCTTAACAGCATTCCTATTTCATTTTAGGGATGAGGGCAAAACGATTGTCATCTCACGGTACCCGATTTAGGGGGAGGGGTGGTGTTACCCGGTACCCACCACCACTGGAAGGGAAATCTTAGATTTTGTCTCTCCAAAACTAAAAGCCAAAWCRCAGAAATGAATGGACAGTCTGTCTGCATGTATGCTWAAAATCATATTTGTGTATCGGAAATCCTCCCCCGCTCTCGCTCTCTCTTTCTATTTCTTCCTCTTTCTCTTTCTCCTGTATCTCTCTCTCTTTCTTTCTGTCTCTTTCTTTTTCTCTCCATTTCTCTTTCTATAGATGTCTCTCTAGCTGTCACTCCATTTTACTCGATGCTGTTCTCACAYGATTGAAAAAATCCAAGACATGCCAGCTTTAASGCATGAAAGTGTATAAAAATKACAGCTCTTCATAAAACGTTATTGATAATTTTTGCATATTCATTCGGTATATCTTAACTTTACTTGCTCTATGCTGAATAGTCTAGACAAGCACGYCGACTGTGAGACTGATACAGATTTRAAAAGAATAAATTATCAGTTTTCGTATTAGATATCAATTTTTTTCGCTGGTATGAAACTCTTTAACTTCTTTCAAGAATCCGTTATAATAATTTACGATTTTTTTTTGCAGCGCTTGAAAATGTTAAGGACGCCATACCTGTTCTTCATATTTATGGTATCGCCATAGCAACAGTCTCAAAGTCAAAACACACCATTTCAGTCTTTCTATTCCCACAAAGGTCACGTGCTTTTGGGTCACGTGATCGCTTCCTTAARCATGGCGGGAATTGATAATTGCTTCATGATCTGTAAGACAAGCAGTGGTTGTAAGAGTTGGAACTACCATTTTGATAGTTTTTTGTGTCAACTGAATGACATAACTCACTGCTCAGAACCCAGAAGTTTGGTGGCACGTTTCAATGGTACGTACATGGTGAATCCTGATTATAGTCATGGTATGCAGAAAAAAAAACACAAAATTTTACAGCAATGTAGAGTAGGAGTTTTGTTTTGTTCGAAGCATGTTTTGAATTCTTGGTGTTGCAGGATGAATTGTATTCTTGGTGTTGTAGGATGTATCGTATTCTTGGTGTTGTAGGATGTATTGTATTCTTGGTGTTGTAGGATGTATTGTATTCTTGGTGTTGTAGGATGTATTGTATTCTTGGTGTTGCAGGATGTATTGTATTCTTGGTGTTGCAGGATGTATTGTATTCTTGGTAATTGCAGGGTGTGTGTAAAACCTTCATTGTATCATTTTCATTAATTCTAAGGTTTCTTTTCCTTTTTAATAGAGTGCTAAATACCAGCCAACCTCAGCACCCAGTAATATTAATTCGGTTGCACCATAACAAGTACACCTGCCACAGAGATAAAGGAACCTAGATTCGGACAGATTTAGCTGAGAGCGGATCGAACCTTCTAAACTAAACAAGATGACATCTAGAAAGCTGTACCATGTTTAGATGCTGAAATTAAGTCTGGCATTTCGACGCCCTTAACACACTCACCCAATCACCCTAGATTTCGAATCTCCCCAAGAGAAACGCCATGTAAGAGTAAYTTGAAAGACCTTATTTTCTGTAGTTATCAGTTCTTTATCAAATCTTTTTAGACTTCAGAGACGCGCCTGCAAACAGTGCAGGTAGGACTCAGTTCACTGACAGTGGCTTTGCATCTTTTCGTTTGCCTGGAAAGATTGTAAAGTCAACATCTTGGTGTTGTAGGATGTGCATCTTTTCGTTTGCCTGGAAAGATCGTAAAGTCAACAAGATAGGTCACAAACAGGCACAACGTTAGACGAATAATCTTGCCTTAACAAGTGTATTGTATTCTTGGTGTTGTAGGATGTCACAAACAGGCACAACGTTAGACGAATAATCTTGCCTTAACAAGGWAATAGAGGTGACTGAAATAGTTTTAGAAGATTTGGGGTCATAAAAGATAGAACAGTTATTTGGCACTGTGTTGCATATTTTTTGTTGGTGGCAAATAAATTATGCATTATTATATTGCTCTTTAGAAAATAATAGTACAAGCTTACTCTTTAGCTAATACATATTTTGGTTAGTTATAGATYGTCTAAAAATAAGCACAGCAATGAGAAAAACAATGCGTTTTGGGGCCCAGGCCACAGGTAGAGAATACCACAGGCAGTTCAAGACTGCTATAATCTTGTCATAACCATGAATGGAGTATCAAACTTCTTTATCYAAGACACCTGAATAATACATATTGAGGAACACAAACAATTACTTATTGCTTTTRATAGGATTCATATCATGCCAACACTAAGGTCAATTGTTTCCAGGCGGATTATTCGCTTAAAGGAGCATTTAGAAGATACCGTTAGTTAAATAGATTTCTCATCCCTTGTGTTATCTCATTGGTCCGTTATTGTTGTCAGTTATTAGTAATAATCTAGCTCCTTTGTTGTCTTGTACATCTTTGTCGAAAACCGGTCGTACGTGAGTTTATATTCTTGAGACAAAACTCTGGTTAGTTTCATATTCTCATGAAATGATAAAGAATTTGTGCAGGAATCTTAAAAGTTTGGCCAAAAAAGAGGAAGAGAGAATACATCAATACAGGACGAACAATGGCGGTTTTGGAGTCATTAGACACGGGTTACCATAAAGATTTTTCGACGTTACCACCGTCAACAAAGCTACCAAATTCACCGTTTCATCGCTTTACACCACAAACCCCATCGCACGAGAATTCTTCCAAACGGTATTCACTACCAAAGAGTAAAAGACAAAGTGCAGAAATTCTTTTCAACATGAAGCCTTTCTTCAGGCATGCAGTAACGGTGCAGTTACTAGGAGACAAGCTTTCAACTGGACAACAGTGTTTTAAGCTCGTCAGAGATCTAGACGGTGAGTTTATTAGTACCAAAGACTCGAGGAATTTAAACAAGAGGTACGAACAAACTGTTTCTTGGAATAGGATTAATTTGACAAGGAGGGTCTTTCCCGACATCGGTGACAACAGATTTGGGTTGTTACGGCACGA